TTGAGTGATCTTTCTGTTATGTTTCCTTTGGGAAGTTTGTTCCCTTTTTTGGGGGGTTTTTTCTTCTTTTTATGTGCTTATGGAGGCTCTTCAAGGTTCCAATCTTTAAATTGTCTTCTTTCTTTACAATGAATCAGCAGAGTTATTCAAGTGTTTTCAGTGACCTCATCATTAATGCACAGCTGTAAATGTTGGACAAATTTGCTGCGCTAAAGTGTGTTTCTGATAATACTCCTTGAATTAAATAGTACTTTTTAAAAAAAAAGTGTACTGGGTATAATATTCACTTTAAGCTTCAAAAGTTGGTCGCATTTTCTGTATTAATGCACAAGTTATCACATCAATCACGCCATCATGTAAAGGTCACTTTTCAACTCATACTTGGCTCATTTTGGTTCAGATGGACAATGAGTAATAACTGGTCACTAGAAAAGTGATATATATGTGAAAATGCAATATTCCATTTCCATCGAGAACTGAATTGACCTTTCCCTTATTTCGACCGGAGAATCTAACAGAGACATTACTGTGGATATTCTTACCAAAAAAGTAGACATTCCATGCCCTCGGAGAGTGCTTTGTCGTGCTAGGTCATTGACATATCCCTTTTTTACCAGATTTACGCAGAAAGAAAAGGTAGGAGTCCAAGTTGAAGTACTCTAATTCACCGCTGTGTGACCAGCAGAAAGGGCTCCTTTCCCTTCTTGCTGCCATAGAAGCATTGGGGGGAGTTTGATAAAAATGTGATGTTCCTCTTTTTTGTACTGATTGCTAATAATATATTTAGTCCGAATTTGCCTATGCCCTATGCCAAACTTCAAATTTGTGGGGATTATTGCAGAAGATGATTTGAGGTCTTACAGGAGCAAAAGGATGATCATCTTTGCTCAATTGCCCTTGATTATCTCCTTGAATAAATGGTGATGTCCTACTCCTGCATACAAGGAAAATAAGCAAGAACCCTTTTATGTGATGAACAAGGTTAATGTAAGCTTTAGGGTTAAAACTAGAATTGTATCTCTGAGACGGTCAGGTGACATTGACATGGGTTCGATTACATCCAGTCAGATATGAATTGTGTCTTTTATGATGAGCATGAAGTTAAGTCAAATCCTTATTCGTCGAACCATAAAAGAAAGTCAAATCCTTGTTCTTCAAAGTCCGAACTTCGTCAAGTCCCTGTAGGGAAAGAAGACATATAGAGGGAATGGAAAAAGGGAGGAAGAGTAGCAAGGTAACTTCTTTTGTTACTTTAATCTATGTTTGGTTGGGGCAGAAATAAGAGGCGGAAGAGTGGAAATAAATGTGGAGGGGTAAGAGCTATTTCCCATATTTCGAGAAGCAAGTGAGAAAGAAGCCGAAGTAAAAGAGGAAGGGATGGGAAATCCTGCATGCCAGCTTACTCATTCGTTCCAATCGACTAGAAGTAAATTATGGAATACTTCAACCATGTAAACCACTCATTTCTCTCTCCTTTTACCGTTACCTCCCCTTTCCTGCAACAAGACATAATATTAATGGAACTGGTATTAAGTCTGTTAAATTACATTAAGAGTGAAACTCGGATTCACATGTTTTGGTGGTAGTGAAATCAATTGTCATGATACCACAGCCTTATATCTTTGTTTTATCTGGAAGTACTCACTATTTTTGTTCATTATGGTTTGCTTGCAGAAGAACGGCGGTGATTTAATGGTTATTGACGTTCGGCGTGTTCCAGCTGATTTTCATGCCAGATATAAAGCTCAAGAACGCACGTCGGTATCAGTATCTTGATCATGTAGAATTAGTTTGCATGCTGAATCTGTACATGCTCAAATGGTTATGTGACATGCCATCTCTTAAAATTGATTTTCTGATGTGTGCGTGGAAGGTTAGCCCCAGCGAATAGTCTTCTGTCCGGCTAGGATGATGTTACTCCTGATTGTTCTTTATCCATTTTGAGAGTTGATGTTTATCAGAATAATGGTGATTTTAATCTAAGTAAATTTTTGTTCCCATAAGGTGCTGCAAGTCTGAGACACTCAATATTTGGGTACCCACTTCACACACTTAACTACATGCTAATTCTTGGTATTGCCAGTAATTCCGTGTGACACTTGTGATTATGAGATGACTGAGAGTTGGTCCTTGAGAATCTTGTTTTAGGTACTTCTACCGCTTGTTATCTGGGCCGGAGTGGGTATCAAGCTTCGAGAAAGACCGAGCTTGGCATGTGCCTGAGAGTCTGGATCTTCCTGCCATGCAGGTTGACTAATTTGAAAAATCTTTTTCTATGTTGGTGTTCTGATCCTCTATAACGGAATTGTTTGTGTATTTTGCAGAAGGCATGCAACGTTCTTGTTGGACGTCATGATTTCAGTTCTTTCAGAGCAGCTGCTTGTCAGGTCAGCTTTTCTTTCCTTTTTAAGTAGCGAGGTTTTTTATCTGTTGTTTTACATTTCTACCTTATGTTTCTCTTCTTTCAACCTATTCGCCATAAATCTTGACTTGTATACAGTATATACTTTTTATGATTTTCCTTTGAAGATATGGAGCAAAATAGGCCTACTGGAAAGGTAGCTGGCTGAAATATTTTGCGACAGTTAAGAATGCCGTTGCATGACAACCGACTGCAGAAACGGACAAAGATGATTACGTAGTATATATTTTGTCAATCTGTTGGAATTTTGACTTATGCTCTAGGTTAGAGGAAGACACTCTATTTTTCTCTCTTTTACCTTGTTATCAAGCTGTCGAGTCATAATCAATGTTTCAGCTCCATTTAATCATACTCCTCCACTAGCTACCAATTCTTTGGCCATATTAGTTTGCTGAGTTGTTTTATTGTACCTATACTTTATAATCCTTTTGAATGGGTTAAATGTACCTATACTAGATATTCTGGAAGCTCAAGGCTAAATACTTCTTACTGTTAGTTAAATGATCTTTGTGATCTATCAAACAGAACTCTTGGCTAGGCTATTGGTTTAGGAATGTGTTTCCTCTGCATCCAAGTTCCAGTTGCCAATGCGATGCCACAGGACATATGTTGAATATCAAAAGGAATTAAAGGGAAAAGAAACAGAAAAAGAACTGGGCCGACAGATCTTTAAAACTTGTGACTGAACTATGAAATGAGTCTCTCCATTGTGATGGAGATTTATAGTTGTAATCAGTCTTCAACTGCTAGTTCTACTTCTTTGCTTCTTGATGAATAAAGTTTACAAATTAACCTCATTGTGAGTTATATCGTGTGAAAATAGGCATTGTAGCAAGTTTGGGTGATTTGTAAATATGGTATAAACTGAAGATATAAACAAGACATTATATTCTTAGTGAAAATGCTTATTACGCCTGAATTGTCTTCTTTTCAACTCGTCCATTAATATTTCCCTAGGAACCCTGGATAAATTTAATATTATAATATTTATTTCTTGCTGCTTTCAAACATCAACAGGCAAACTCACCCATTAGAACTTTGGAAGAACTAAATGTTACCGAGGTTGTCTCAACTCCATATTTTCCATCAATCTCAGAGAGACTAAGGAGCCATAGTGTGATGGAGGATCCAACTGTATCCTTGGGTTCAGACACCGACTATTCCCGTACTTCTTTGACCTCCAATGAGGGGAAGTCAGACGGCACAAATGGCGAGGCTTGCCAAGACTTTGGCCTTAGAAGAAAACACCGTTGCTTTGTGGTGACAGCAAGAGCACGATCTTTCCTTTACCATCAGGTTGGTATTTGGCTTCTTCTAAATTTTTGTTGTCTTTGCTTTTACTGGTTTTTTTTATCTCCCCAACCAAAAGATATGTTAATAAATGATAAATAAAGTGTAAAAATTGGACTCAGCAAAAGATAATTTTTGTATCAGATTACTAATTGAGTCTCATTTTTAGGTGAAACGCTTTCATATTCTAGTTTTGTGAAAATTTTGTCGTTTCAGAATAATAATGTCTAATAGAACCTTTACGTGATCCAAGAATTTGATTTAACATTGTTACCGGATTTGTCCTTAAAACATTTACAGATGGAGTTGATGGATTTGGACTAATACATAGATACAAACACTAATAAGACATGGGAACAATATGTGCAAGCTTCTGGATCATGCATTTAGTACCAAGCTGATATCATCAAATTTGTCGTTTTTTATCTCATGCAGGTTAGGCTGCTTGTTGGAGTCCTTAAAGCAGTTGGGGCTGGAGATCTAACAGTTCCTGATGGTATTGTTCTTATGCTAAACGTCTGATGTCAGTGGATATAGTGGGTTTTGTCTTACCACTAATTTATCTTTGATGCATCATTTCAGTAAAACGCATCCTTGAAGCAAAATCCATCACTGCTGCAAGTCCGATGGCTCCTGCATGTGGTCTTTATCTTGGACACGTCAAATATGATCTGCCTCCCGAGACTTGACAAAGCCAATCAACATTTTCCAGTGAACTAGCTTGATGTTCTGTGATGAATTATGCATGTATTTCTAGATCATGTGGCCTGCACAACTTCTTGTTAACAGCTTGCATATAGTGGTTCCTAAGGAAACATCACTACTCACTTCAATCCTAGGGGCACGGATGAGATTCATCTCTCTTGCAATCAAGCAGGCATCGTTCTATTGCTAGAGAAATGATTTTGCTCTAGTAGAGGTTCTCTGCAGAAAACATAAAGCGATACTCCAGGATGTGGTTCTGTGATAGCCAGGAAGGCTCTTCTTGAGGAGTTGCAGGAATTAGCCAGTGTTCATTTATGCACTTATTTCCTATTCATTTCACCTTGCTTCTAGTGTTATAAACTGTATGTATTTCTTGCAGAAATAAACCTTATTTTCATTTATGCACTTATTTCCTACTCATTTCACCTTTACTTCCAGTAGACCAGTAGGTCCAGTACTATGTTAGACTCTTCAGTATGTTCTGAATGTCAATGACTTATGGTTCAGCAAATGGCTCGGCGATTTCAGTTTCCCCCCTTTGTGTACAAGATAGTTGCAATAAAGTAGGGAACGCTCGAGGACGAACTGAAATGCGTTAAAATCATTATTAGTGAATAGTAAACATCAGATAATCTACAAAGCATCCATTTCGTCAGTTGTAGTCCCTGCGTTTACAAAGAAACGACCAAATATCTTCAAAAAAGAAAGAAGTTTAAACGGAGTTTTATCACCCTCAAAGTACACTTTGACCTACCATTTGACCACTACCAAAAAAGAACAAAGGAAAATCAGTGTCATTGACCTCCAAAACTTCAGAATCACACGTTCAACATGCATTAACATCTGGAAAAAGAATTAACCTACTGCATAAACATGGAAATGGCTGCATGAATAGAGCTCTTGCGGGCGGAACCCTCACGTTTAACCAGTGAATGTGGTCCATTCCAGACAGATCTTTGATTATCAGCAAACAGGATTCGCGATAACTCCATAACCGTTGGATTTTCAAGATAGCGCAGGTTCTCCAACATCTTGGCTTTCTGATACTTGTCTTGCAATTCCTGTACAAAATTTTTTAGGCCATAATAGTCACAATGCAATTTCTGTTAAAAAACGCTATGTAGTATATATATAAACATGCCTTACACTGTAAAACTAGGAATAATATAACTACCAGCGAACAGGAATCGTCTTAGACTAGAAAATAGCATTATTTCCAGCTCAGTTTTCTCCCAAAGGACAATATGAGGAAAATGATGAAATAGGTTCATCTATCAACCTAAACATCGTGAAGAATTCAGAGAACGTCCTGAAACTTGGTAACACAAGACAATTCACTGAATGATTGTTGGCACTTAACATGGACTGCAACTCCAGAACTAATTTCATGCAATTTTCTCAAATATAGCAGCTCATATCCTTCACCCTGGAATGATTTTCTTCGGAGAGCATTTTTCTTCAGTGTTATTCTTTTTTTTTTCTTCAGTGTTATTATTATTATTATTATTATTAGTCTTATTTTTAATAAGGAGAGCATTTTCTTCAGTGTGTATCCTAGCTGTTAATTGAATGGCTACCGTCCAATTGAGCAAAATGCAAAGTATTGCATGAACTGATATATGATGATTCTAGATATTTTGAATGTGCCTTTTGCATACTGGAAACAAAGGTACAAATAATACTTATCCCATAGTATTACCTTTGGCCTCTGTTGCCCAGTTGCTGCATTTTCATCTCCATGCTGCACATTTTCTTTTCGAGTGTCATTCAGCAAATCTCCACCTGGCTCCACATTTTGCTTCTGATGATGTGCTTTGCGCTCATATACAGATACATGACCTGACTGCAAATGCTCAGAGGTGACCCCTGCTCTTTTACTTTGGATTCCCATTTCACTCTCCATCTCTTCCTCTAGCTTCTCATGTAAAGCTCCCTGATTTTCAGTTAACTTTCTCTCTGCTCCTTTTTTCTGTAGATTAGCATCAACATCTTGCTCAGGTGAATTCTCCATATTTGATGAGGTATACTCTCGACTTTCTACAGGTGAAGTTCCCTTTTAGAATGAAAATGGAGAAAGAACAGTTAGTAAGGATGCTAAAAGAACTGCAAAGAAGTATAGGAACCACACAAGCAGGGGCGGATTTAGGGGGGCGGAAGGGTGTTCACCCCAAACCCCTTCGCCGAAATATTACACTGTATATGTAAGGCAAAATATATTTTTTACCTCTATATATTATGTTTTAATCCCCTTGACACAACCCAAAAGCATAGCTTAGTGGTCAAGGGGGTTCAAAACCTTTGAAAGCTCACTGGTTCTATTCCCACTAGCTACAACCTTTCTAACTTTTTTCTTTTTTTGAACACTCTTGGCAGTAATCCTGCCTCCGCCACTGCACGCAAGCTCATATGTGATAATTCAAAATAATCTTCTTTGAAATAAATAAAAAGAATACAAAATTGATGAAGAAATTTTAGCATTAGAAGGAAGAAATAGGAGAATTCACAGCTTGATTATTTATTTCCCTCAAGTTATTAAGGTTGAACTAGCATGTCTAAGATAAGATTAAACATAATTACAAGTATCAAATTGTGTGTCCACCTCATCTGGAAGCAAAATTTGTTAGAGAGATGACAAATTATTATTTTCATGTCTGCAACACACCTGCCAGGCCAGATTTTTGAAGGAGAAGAACAAATAAACTAATTTTTGAGAAGTTGCACTACATACTGTTTCAAATTACATATTTAACGAAAAAAACAAAGCACATAAAGATACATCGTCTGGCAAAAGGCTGAATTGGGATGTATCACAACGAGCTTCATCAATCAAATGACCAGTTATTACTTATTAGATATCCTAACAAATTCACTTCTAAATTCCAAGACGGGATACAATAGCAACAAGCTAAAGCATGATACAGATGTTTCAACATTGAGGGGGAGAGTTAAGAATATCGTAATTATTGCTCAACTTAAATACCAATTAAGGAGACATTTCATCTAAGATCAAATAGGATCAATTAAGAAGATTCTTTGTATATGATTATGTATTCTTATATTCCATCTTGTTTTAGAATACTACTTGAACCCAAATAGGTCTTTTCTTCTTTCTCTACAGATTCTTATTGATTCCCTAATGGCTAATGTAAACCCTTAATTACAAAGTATTCTTAACAGATAGAAATATATAAATCAGCATAGGCAACAAAACAGAAACTTTAATACCTCTGTTTTAATCTCCTCTGGATAATCATCACTAGCCTCTTGGTCATCCAACAACCGAGTGCTCTCCTCCCGCTCCTGCCTGCGTCGTATCATCACACATATAGCACAAAGGCATCCTTCCTTGTGCTTCTTGAGCCTGAAGGAAAGCCAATAAAATCAAGGAAAATAGTTTACACCTTCATTGATGGTATTAACAATAAATTGATACCAAACTACCACCTTCAGACAATTTGCAACGTCGCCAGTATATAGCAGAAACCAGAAACTCATGAAAAAGTCTGGGGAAGGGGATTATACTTTCTAAAAGAAAACAGAGAAAGAATTTAAGAAAGAAGTGTGATAGGGCTTCTGATTGCGTGACCTTATGATCCAAAAACCAGTAAACTAAATAAGATTCTGCAGCATTCAAACTACCAAATATTAGTAGCTCTTAATTGTGGCATTCAATGTATTAAAAGGCGGGGGCGTGAGGCGAGGCGAGGCGTAAGCCCTGAGACATGGGGCGTAAGTCCCACGGATCTTTAAATTTTACTAATTTCAAGATTTTTAAGATAGTATAAAATAAAAATTAAATTATAAAAATTACATTAAAATCACAAAATTATAACAAATAATCCATTTAAAATATTTATAAATTATAATTCAGCTATGAATAATACAAAAAGTATGACATACATCATAATATGCAAATTAGCTGCAACATCGTTACAACTCAAACATCAAAAGTAATGTATTCGATGGGAAATCTTATATGTATCTCTTAAGTAGAATCTTGAAAGAATTTTGATATTATAATTTGATTTTTTTTAAAATACTCAGTTTTATTTTTTATTGTGACATAATATACTCTCAACTTGATGATTTATGATTAAGAAAAAAGTAATTTTTGAATAGTCAACGATTTATTAAGAAAATTTGAGGATTTACAAGGTTAGTTACATACAATTGCATAAAATTCTATTAGGCGAGCCCAGTACGCTGGGTGTTGGGCGTGTCCGGAGCGTAAGCCCCGACGGCCGAGGCATAAGTATCGCAGAACTAAGCCCCACACATAAGCCCAGGGGCATTTTACGAGTGCTCCGACCCAGGGTGAGCCCCGGGCGAGTCCCAATTCTGCCTTTTAAAACAGAGGTGGCATTTACTTGATCAAATCAAATGCTAATTCTGCCAGTGTTAATTTGTTTGGCATAGAAAATTATCGCACTAATATATCTTTGGCATTTTCCAACTTCTAAGAAATTAAAATTGCCTTTGTATTTTGCTTTAGAATTTTCCTATTCTATATTATTTCCTCAAATTAAATACTCCAAGTCCTCCTAATCAATGTAGAAGAGAATCTCCTTTTGCAGAACCTTTGTTGAAGAGTCCATAGCGATATTGAAGCTAGGGTAAGTGTAAATTATTAAAATTAAATAGAAATATGGTGTGGAAATTATATATGCAGTTTTCCATTTACTTTAGGGGCTGTTTGGTAATTCTGACTAGCATCACGAATATGCCAGATCAGATTTATCCAGCATTGAGTATGTGTTTTTGGTTTCTCTGGATTAAGCCAGTTTCACGATTGTGAAAATATTGGGGACACTGTTGTTAAAGGGCTTAAAGCGCGCTTATGCTATGAAACTCGGTGAAGCGCAGGTTGTGCACTTCGCATTGCTTAGTTGGCATTTAATGTAGGTGTCATGGTACGAAGGCATATATATCTTCACCAATTGGCTCTGTCTTTAAGAGCACATCACTAGACAAGAAAGATAGTGACAAAATGGTACATTAGTTGTTACGCAATCGTCATGATTGAACTTTTAGTGATTATGAATAAGAAATTGGATATTTTTGGTATAAGAAAAAACTAGCCACTGAAAACCTAAAACTACATCTTTTGTTCTATATCAGTATTTTAAAATGGCGTCTGAACTCGATTGACATGATTTTAACTACAAATATTAGCTTACTTGCAGTTTCCCATCTTTCTCCCTTACCATTATCTGGTTTCCTATCCTGCATGCCCTAACAGTGACCTCCGTCCAGTGACTTCTTTCTGTCGAGTGACTTCTCTCCTACTGTCGACCTCTTTCAAGATAAGGTCTCATGCATTGCATCTAATTCACCATCTCCCCACCTGCCAATGGAGCAATCCATTCCCTGACATCCCTTTCTCTGCTGCCCATAACCAGTCGTTGAGCTCCACTTCTCTCTGATCGCCCCAGCGATCTCGTCCTTCTATGGAAAGCATCCCCCCGCCCCTAAAACTCACCCTGCTAATGCCACAAGTAGCGACTCTCTATCACTAAATGGCTTACTTAGGGTCGCCAGCAAGAATGCATTTTCCAAACTGACGGAAAAGATGCTTACCATCCAAGAAACTACACAAAATTTGCCTATAAATATGGGAAAGCAAAAGGTACCGCCAATTATCATAAGAAAAGAATTTCTTTGGTATAAGGCAAACCCAGAAGAATAGGATTAGTTGTGGCACACAGTTGCTTCATAAAGGCGATGAGGCTTAAAAATATTGCAATTGAGATATCTAGTTTGGACAGGAGTATAGCTGTACATTCTCTGTTTGAGAGAGAAGATATGATTTTCAATGACGTCTTATCTTCCATCTCCTCGAACCCTTATCAATAAATGATACGCAATTGTTACATTAATGGATAAAAAAAATTCATCTTTATAAACCTTTTTCTGGTTAGTTTTATGATAATAAGCGTTCAATTTCTCTATATGTACATTGTACAAACATGTCTAGACCCTGCATAGAAGTGATGGCCTATGTGGAAAGTATGTAATTAAAGCATACAGCAACATACCCTTGAAGCTTTTTGTTCTTCTGACTTAAGGAACCACCTTTTGTAGGTTCCTTTCCATGACTTGAAGGTGTAGTGTCCTTAGTTTGACTGCTTTCGGCACCTAGTATGATAAGAAGACGTGAGTAAAATGCTGATTAATGACAGTTTAAAGGCTCAAACAAGGAGAACATAAGATAGAAGAAATTATTTAGTGAACATTTAAATTAATGCTTTTCCATAACGATGAAGTATTTTATGATGAGATGTCAAATTTTATGCAGACACATAAGGGAAAAGAGAAATTTGGAAAAGAAGTGAAATTTTACTTGGTAAATGCAGAAGAAAGAAGAGAAAGGAACAAAGGGAATCCAGAGACATATATCTCTTCCAGCCCTAAACCAAACTTTGATACTTTTTGCAGTCAAATCTACCTGCTTCAAGTATGGAAACGAACAGACAAAACCACAAACCAAGGCAAACACGTGCCAGTAGATAGTTGGCATAGAGTAGAGCATTCAAAATTGACAAACAATGCTTAATAGCTAGGCGTGCAGAAAAGGAAGACAAACATATAAGCAAATTCAGCAGATTGATACCGGTATGAAAATAGATTAAGTCGCTAGAGAGATTTACTTTGCAGATGATCGCTGTATAAGCCAGCTGCTGTCCAGTACTTTGCAAAGTTCTTTTTCACCCGCTTCATGAGCTCCATAACGTAATCACCCTTATTATTGTATTTGTAGCAGTTATTCCATATATACTGCACATCCTTATAGACATCCTCGGAGTTCATGTATTTGACACCACTTTCCAGATTACTACATATTGTCCCGAAATCCATAGGCGTATCTATAACATCAAAATAATCCTGCCCCACACACCAGTTGAAGAATAATTTCATCATTAATGTATTAGAGGAAGGAAAAAGGGACAGGTAAAATAACCAATAGCTGAAGCTTTTAAAAAACTATTCAGAAGACAAAGACTGCAACCTCTACATACTTTCCGCCATCACTTTTGCTTTATTTATTTTTTAACCAAAAATCCCGAAG